TGATTGAGTATCTCTAAATATTGACTTAATATCTCTAAATATTGACTTAATATCTCTAAATATTGATTGAGTATCTTAAAATCTTTATTTAGAGATGACAGTTTCTCTCTCACTTTGGCAGAAATGAGCTTCCATATATTTTACATTGTGAGTCTCTGTACATTTGAATTACTTTAAACTGTGCAGAGATTAAACCTCCACTGACCTCACTGATGTCGCTCACACACACATCCAGTGTGAGTCCCTGTAATCTGTGAGCGGGAAGTAGGAGGTTGTTAATCCTAGAGAGGAAACAGCGGCAGCTCATCCGGTAATGGCGCAGGACGGATCGACCGAGGAGGACCGAGCAGGTTGAACACACACCTTATCTTACCTGGGAGACTTTTATTGGAGTGCAAATGATCTAATTCGTGGTGGCAGTGCGGTCGGGAGCCGTGTGAGAGACCGAGCAACCCTCCAGGGAGGGAGGGGGGGGAGGGAAATGGCCGCAGTCGGAGCGGAGCCTGAATCTGTCCCGACATTAACTTCAGATCAGAGTTTCTGTTTCTGTTTGCTCCTCTGTGGTGGTTGGGTTAATGCCTGCTGTGTTAAATATTCTCCATTATATAAATATATATGTGTGTGTGTGTGTGAGATATTACACCGCGGGTTCAGCACCACGCGGAAGTGGACAGCGACTCCGATTTAACATGAAAACTAGACCCTGAAATCACTTGTTTTCTTCTTCTAATAGCGTCTAAAAACTCCAGTTTGGTGTCAAATACTATTAAATTGAATACATTTATTTAGATTTAATTTAAAGAATAACGTGTTAAAAACTAATTGATTAAATTATAGGCTTTAATCTGCGGAAAAACATGTATTTGTAAATAAAACAATTAATTGATTTCTAATGCTTTCTTTAGACATTTCTATTCATTGCTTTACTCATGTGAGTAATGTTTAATGTAATGTTTTTGAGTTGAAATAACTTAATTGTCCAAGTAAATATGAATCAGAATCACTTTTATTAGTCAGGTAATGTGCACACATACAATTACAATCTAAAAAGAGACAGATGTATCCCCCAAAGTGACATTTTGTATTTCAAAGATAAAATAAATGAATACATTAAACACACGTAGTAAAATATAATTCATATATAATGGATCCTTTGTGCTTCATTTTATACATCTTCTGTACAGTAACTTTGTGATGTCGACTACTAGAACGATATTCACCCAGATCTGGTTCAAGGCGAGTCTGACCACGTGTCTCTGTTTGTTTGTTTGTTTGTTTACAGGAGTTGACACAAGACTGAAGTTTACCATTGAACCATCGCTGGGAAAGAACGGATTCCAGCAGGTAAGAACTGGAACCAGCGCTGCTTTCTGCTGCTGATCGGATGTTGTGTTTATACGTGAGAGTGGAGGTGATAATGTCGACTTTCTGAACACCAAAGCACTCGTTTTCTCTTAATCATAGTAAATAATATAGTATATCGAGTCTCTTGCATCACAACTGGAACAAAAGACAAAGTTTCATTGGAGTTGTTGTCTTCACCACCATTGCTGAAGCTAACAGGCTCCCGGTTATGACACCATGATAACGGACTAAGCCGGGCTGCTGCCAACGTTTTACTGCTAAACTGCCGCATCTTATATCTTTTATACATTAATATTGTCCTGCTGGGTTACTCAGACAGCCGTGGCCTCAGTGGGATAAAGCAGTGTGTGTTTGCTTCCCTACAGTGGTACGACGCTCTGAAGGCAGTGGCTAGACTCCCGACTGGGATCCCGAAGGAATGGAGGAAGAGGGTATGTGACTGCGCTCCGTGTAATCAGCTCCAACCTCCGGGTGTTAGGGCCACAAATATCTTCCATACAAAAATACATTTTTATAAATAGGACAAAATGAATTTCTCCATTTTCTTGGTGTCTGTTTTGAACCCCGAGGGTTTCCAGTAAAAGAGGGCGCTGACCCAGTTGTGCAAACGTACAAGAAAAGTCTGTTTTCTTTATTATTATCAGCAGGAGAGAGTGTAGGCGCAGTGCAGAGGAGCAATAAGCAGAGGCACTTTGTCTACAATGCATCATAAGTTCATCTCATGGGAACAGAGAGCAGGAAGTGGAAGCAATTACTTTCATCCTGTCAAAAGGAGATTTCGCTCCTGAACTTGCAAAACAAATTGAATCACTGTGAACAAGCGAAAGTTTCAATAGTAGCTCATAAGACTCAGGATCCTGGATCTCTCCTCAAAGTTTAGTTCAGCTGTTTGATATTCAGTTTGATTTCCTCGTGTGTCTGCTGCTGTCGTCTCTCTGCAGGTTTGGCTCACGTTAGCAGACCAGTACCTCCACACTATCTCTATCGACTGGGAAAAGACGCTTCGCTTCGCCTTTAATGAGCGCAGCAACCCGGACGACGACTCCCTCGGCATCCAGATCGTCAAGGTAACCGCATCGTATCGTCATCCTGGGGGGGGTTAGGGGTTAGATCAGTGTGTGTGTGTGTGTTGGTGTGGAAGGGGGTGTGTCAGGACCATTCTTCTGCCATTATGTCACCTTCTTATCTTAAAACAGCCGTTTTTTGAATGGGTTTGGTGTGACAGTGTTGTGCAGAGGGATTTGAACTTAATAATTCCATAAACTGAGCTGACCGACCTTCTAATAATGAACCTTTACAGCAGGAAGTGGGATAAACCCTCCTGTTTTCTTCTTCTGTGGTCTCGTAGTAAAAGGTGGATTAATGAACACAAACGCTGGAGTTAGTTTACAGTAACGTCACATTGGACAGACGACAGAAACAGTTAATAAAGAGTCTGAACCACAGAAAAAGTGACAATATGAGATGATGGCTGCAGGATTTTGGCTCCTTATTGCTAAAAAGCAATACAGTATTCTTATTTGATGATATTAAAATGGCCTTTAAGACCTCTGAATTTACATTTACTGCCAGTTAAATCAGAGGCACTGCTTTCACCCAGAAGGAGGCGGGGCTTGACGCAAGGCCGGGTGGACTTCTCTCATCTATGACACAAAAAACATGTTTTCAGATAGAGTAACCATCAGTGATCCTACGTCATTCATCACTGATTGTACGTCCCTGTGAACAGCAGCGTCCTGTGGAGGATGTTTGCTTATGAGCATCATGGAAACACTGCAGCTCTCTGCTGTTTCTCAGTGACTCACAGACAGGACAAAGTCCGATCACCGTGTTTGTCTTCTCTGTCTCTGTCCTACATGCGTGAAAAGATGAGTAATCTATCTAGTTAATGTGCTGACTCCAAATAAAAGAATCCGTCCTTCTAACATCCAGGACCTGCACAGGACCGGCTGCAGTTCTTACTGCGGCCAGGAGGGGGAGCAGGACAGGGTGGTGCTGAAGAGGGTGCTGCTGGCGTACGCCCGCTGGAATAAGAGTGTGGGCTACTGCCAAGGGTTCAACGTGCTGGCGGCACTCATACTGGAGGTTACTGAAGGCAGTGAGAGCGATGCACTAAAGGTACACACACACATTTTATATGATTTCAGTCTAATGAATGTGCTATAACTTCCTGGTGGAGTTTAAACGCTGTCTGTTCCCGCTCTTCTGTCTTCAGGTGATGATTTATCTGATCGACAAAGTGCTGCCAGAGAGTTATTTTGCCAACAACCTTCGAGCATTGTCAGGTAAACACAATGGCACACACAGGTACAGACGCAGGGACAGACTCAGGTATTTTTAGGCACTAAGCCCCTAAAAGTACATCTTTGGTGGCAGTACATTGTCTGTTTTAATAGATAACTACTAGATAAATAGTAGACTTAGTAAACCCATACTTAATAACTAGCTAACTTAAGATGTGACTGCTTTTATCTTTTATCTTCAAAACGTGGTTGTCTTTTCAACACAGATTAGCATATAGCATATCTAAGTACAGGACAGGAGAAAGTTGGCAGAGGCTCAATTGGAATCGGAATATCGGATCACAGAGCAAAAAGGGACTTAGGAAGGGTCAATTGATTAATTAGTAATCTACAACCGTTCTGACAATCGATCAGTCAAGTATTTATTTATTTTTTTAAGCAAGAACGCCACAAATTTCACTTCTTCCAGCTTCTCAAATTTGACCATTTGCTGGGTTTCTTTGTCTTCTGTGTTAGTTAATTCAATGGATTTTGGTTTCGGACTGTCAGACAATGTCAACTTGGAAAATTACCCCCACATTTACCAATAATTATAATAATTGTTTTAGTCTGGGAGTAAGTTAATAGATGTGGATGTTGGGGACTGTCAGTATCCGATGGTGACATCTACAGCACCTATCGATTTGAAACTCGATTGATATCCTCAGGTTACTGTCACTCTCTAACCAACAGAGCTTTTTAATGTGTAATGTCTCCTTCTGTCAGTGGACATGGCGGTGTTCAGAGACCTGCTGCGCCTGAAGCTGCCCAGACTGTCCCAGCATCTCCACCACCTTCAGAAAGCTGCCAACAGAGAGGCCGGAGGTACAAACCTGTGCTACCTGGTTGTGTGTTCACGTCTCTGTGACAAACAATAGTGTGTGTGTGTGTGTGTGTGTGCCAATAACACGTGTCTGTTTCCTCTCAGGCAGCTACGAGCCTCCGTTGACCAACGTGTTCACTATGCAGTGGTTCCTCACCATGTTCGCCACCTGCCTGCCGGCGCCCACCGTGCTGAAGATCTGGGACTCGGTTTTCTTCGAGGGTTCAGAGGTGCTGTTCCGGGTCGCCCTTGCCATCTGGGAGAGACTGGGAGAGTGAGTGGACCATTACCGCCAGAAAACACTGTCGCTCGTCACCAGACTCCAGAGACAAAAGCACTTGTTTTACCTTCATAACAACTTGTGGAGTGGACAGAAACAGAATAAAACTCGATTAAAGCGTACTCTGTTAGTGTTTCCAACCAAGTCACTAACTCTGGTGTTGGTGGAAATAAATCCTTTAATTCACCGACGTAGATGATAAAAACAGCAGCTTGTCAGTCGGCATCAAGACCGGCGTATGGAAACAAACCAGCAGAGCAGGCTGCCGATACAACACAGGCAGAGGGAGAGAGACACCATGTGACTCTGTGTATAGAGAATATAATGTTTAATGATAAAACTACAACATTCATTTCTGTTTATTAGTAATAACTTTAACAAATACACTACTAAAACCACTTCAGCTGCTACTAATGCTTAAACAGCACATGATAGGATGTATTACTGGAAATTACTGCAGTTTTCTCTTATATATACCTATAGATAAATATATTACATGTGGGTGACGCTGAATGTGGCAAACCTGGACAACTAAATCTCTACAATGTGCTTGTTATTTATCCCTCTGCTTCCTCCCGCTGTCTGTGTCCAGGAGGATCGAATACTGTCAGACAGCAGACGACTTCTACAGCACGATGGGTTGTCTCACTCAGGAGATGCTGGAGCACAACCTCATCGATCCCACTGAACTCATGCAGGTACGACATGAACCAAACCCCTCACCCCCCCTTTTTTAACCTCTTTCTAGTCATGTTTTTGAACTGATATAAATAGATTTTCTCTCCGTCTACCAGGAGGTTTACTCCATAGCAGTGTTTCCTTTCCCTCAACTGGCTGAGCTGAGAGAGAAATACACCTACAACATCACTCCGTTCCCTACCTCGGTCAAATCCAATGGAAGGTTTGTAGACTTCCTGTAGTTCAGCTGCGTCTGTGTGAGCTGCTGGGAGGAGCCCGTTACAGTGATGCTGTTGTTATTTTGTCATAGTGGTGGTCTGGGCAGCTGGGAGAGCGATGACGACGCCGACATGGACGATGAAGACTCTGTAGTGACGGCGCTCGGTTGCCTGGGTCCTCTGGGCGGCCTGCTGGCGCCCGAGCTGCAAAGATACCAGAAACATCTCAAAGGTCGGTGCAACCACACGCCAGCCGCTGGAGAGCGTCCAGAGACAGCAGCCGAGTGGCTCAAGACAAACTACTGCCCCAAATCCTCATGTTCTGCCCCAGATTTGACTCCAATTTACAAACTGGTCTCTGATCTGTTTCCCCTCGCAGACAAATCCCCACTTCCTCCTCCTTCAACAGCTCCTCCAGAGATGAAGCCAAAGGGATTTAGTTCAAAACGCTGGTTAAGATCTGAAGCAGTAGTCGTCACCCTCCAGAGAGATTTAAAAAATGACTTCAGAGAAATGATCTCAGTTGATTTGACCTGGTTTGAAAGGGAAACTCATTCTCAGGAGAAAGTGAGCATCAGTAAATCATTCAGAGACTACAGGAAGATTACAGTAAACAAACCGCCGGCTGCTTACAGAGAGCGCTTTACATTGTGTGCTGCTGGGTTGGATTTGTGCCTGTGCAACGCAAAATGTATGGAGGATCCAAACCGCCAGAATCAAAGATGAATAAATGCCATTAAATGCAGCAAAAATAATATAAAAAAATAAATTAGGAATAATTATTTAATTAAGTTATTTATTGTTGATTTTATTTCTTGATTGGTCCATTAAAAAAACAAAATGCACTTTTCCCCTCGACTTCAAAGTTTGTCGTTTCCTTGTTCCATGAGTTCGATAAGCAAAACAATGCTCAAATCCGCACAGGACGTGCAGTTGTGATGCCACCAGTGATAAGTCAAGAGTGCATCAAGACAAAAACAGGATAGGGGAAGAAGGCTGACTAGAACAATCAATGATGTGTGTGTAGAGACTTCTTTATTGTCTTTGTAAACTTTAGAGAGTAATATCTAGAAGGATGTCTAAACTGCGAATGTATACCTCCTATCTGATAGTTAAGGATCGACAGTTTTTGGTGTCATAATGAGAGATTTTTAGTCCTTACCCAGGCCT